TTGCTGTTGGTACTGATGAAAACCCATTAATTAAAGATTCATTGGTCAGGGAAGTTTATAATAAGTCCAGAAAATTTTCTGTTGGAGAAAAAATTACAGACGATGAAATTGCTAATTTTTGTTTAATAAATGGCGAGCAGTTTTTCATTGGCCATGATTTTCAAGCAAATTGTGAGACGATGTTTTTTGGTTTTGAGAAGGCAATTCAATTTGCAAAAGAAGCCACAGATTTATTTTGCGATGGAACTTTTAAAATTACACCAAAACATTTTCAAAAAGGACAGATGCTAACAATTATGATTTGTGAACCTTCAACAAATCAATATCTACCACTTTTATTTATATTCATGAAAAACCGCACATTTGAATCTTATAAGAAGGCATTTGAATATATTTTTACTGTCAAGGGTATTCAATTTTCAAAGCTAATTCAAATTCATTGTGATTTTGAAAAGGGAATGATAGAGGCACTTCAACAAATTTTCCCTAAAGTCCGTATAATTGGATGCCTATTTCATTTCAAACAAGCTTTACACAGGAAACTTGTAGCACTTTATACAAAAAATTTCAATACTTTACAAAATTCTTTATTTAAGCTATATTCTATTACTCCATTCATGTCTCATGAAGAATTTGTACTTACAATGCATATAATTAATCAAAATAAAGTTGATTCGATCAAAGATTATATTGATTATTTCAACAAAGTTTGGTTGCCGCACTACAATTTAATATCTCAATATAATAATGCAACTGCAATATTCACTAATGATTGCCTCGAGAGTATGCATTCAGAATTTTCTTCGTTAAAACATCCAAACATTTATGAAGCTATTAAGAAGATATCTCAAATCCAATTAGATAAATATAACGCCATCAAAAATAACCAGAAGATCGAGCGCCATATAAAAACCGTTATCACTGATAGCTACAAAAATTATATTCTTGACTGCTTTCAAAAAGAACTTGAGAAAACAATTTTTTCTATCAAACAATACAACGTAAGTGATCTTTCTTTGGCTCAGAACGAGATTTCTCCATATGGTTCCATAGAATCGAGTTCATTGTTCGAAAATATTCCAGTTCATGATGCAGATATACTCAAATCGATCGATCTAACAGATAAAGATACAATGATCACTAAGTTTATTAATGAAAAAAGAGAAAAAATTATGGCATTATTTAATGAAACATTAAATCATCCAGATTTTAATTCATCCACTCCAATTCAAACTAATTTTGAGCAAGCCGATACAAATCAAGGTTCAGATGCTCCAATTCGCTCCGAAAATTCAAATATTGCAGACTCTACAGATTTAGAACCAGAAAATCAAAACCATCCTTCTACAAATCAAATGTCTAGTAATCTAGAACATAAGCTGGACCTTCTTGATCATATTGAAAAACAATTATCGAAAATGCGCTCGTTATTGGGAATTCTTCCTACTACAAATGCTATTGTTGGGCCGTCAAAACAAGTTTAAGTTAATAGCAAGCAAAATTCTGAAAAAAATAAGAAAAAATCTTCCATAACAACAAAATCAAACAATAAAAAACAAAATTCATCCGACAATCCTCCTAAACGTAAAGCTCCTATTTCGGAAAGGATTCTCAGCGATAATAACTTATATTTTCAAGTTCATCGAAAGAGATCGAAAAGCAAACGTTCCACATCTACAGAGAAAAATAATTGATATATGAAGTCTAATTCCTTTTATAACTACTATATTTTTATTCTTATGACTAAAAAATAATATATTATTTAACAATTTTCATTTTTTTCTTTTAAGGGTATAGTAAACTCAAAATTCTAGAGTTTTGAGAGTGCCAATAAACTCTATAGGCCTATATATATCTATATTTTAAAGGAGAGGTTACGCCATAATATTTGATATTATAAATTATTAATTCAAAATAAAAGTAGAAAATGAAACTAATTTTATTCTAACCTATATAAATATATCAATAATCTAAAATGATTATAGTCTGAACTATATTTTACCAGATTATCAAATATAAGAGAAATGAAATAAGGCATAAAAATATCATAGCATAATTATTGGATAAATGCATTAATAAATTATTTATATCATAATGAGAAAAAATCAAAATAAGAAAATGAGCATAATAATAATTTAATTAAAAACAAAAACAATAAATAAAATGTAATTTTCGTTAATCAAAGTCATCAATGTCTTCGTCTTCTGATTCCCATTCGGACTTGAAAACTTGATAATCTCCTCCTGGTACACTCTGAATGGATTTTTTGTATTTGTTCTGTTTTTTAGAACCTTTTGTAACAGTTTTTTGTTTCAATATCATTTTGGAGTAACAATTCTCTTCAAATGATTTGACACAATCTTCTGGAAGTGGGGGAAGATGTAATGCTTTTTGTATATCTCCGAGAAAATGCTCTGGATCATTCCATTCTAAGATTGCAACGTTAACTCTAATGTTAATGTTCTTCCAGGCTCTTGATTTGTCCAAATAGCATGCAATTTTGGAGTTAAACGCTTCATTCATGCAGGTAGATCCAATGGAAGAAACTTTGGAAACTATGGGTGTCCATTTGTGAACCCAGTCATAGAGCATGAATTGAAGTTGGATCGAATTGACACCTTTTTGCCATTCAAAGCATTTGTAATTGTGCGGTTCGCAAAAGAATGATTGCCTACGTAATGGTAGACACAATTCTCCCACATTTTCGTACGTTTGTCAATATTTTCTTCGGCAAAACATGACCAAAGCCACATACTTAGGCTTGCATTCAGACCCCAGAAAGGTCTCTCTATTTTTTCAATCTTCTGAGTCTTGTCGTTGAAAACTTCAACTGTCTTATGAGAAGCTGAGAACTTTGTAAAATCTTTTGAGATATTTTTTGATACATGACCTGGATCGAATCTTTCAAGATGAGAGACGCCAAATTCTTTAAAGACAGAGACACTTTTGTTATCTCGGTCTTTAATAATCTCTTTAACATCTTTCAAGATATTGTATTTCTTTAATTGCTTCAAGATGATTCGAGTTCCAGCACTTTCCATATTGTTGGAAGCTCCGGAATACTGAGCATGCTGTCTGTTTCCACCAATATGGTTGATGTTCACGCATGCAAGAACTCTTTTTGTGACAGCATCGAGCGCAGTTACTGTACAACTTGGCGAGTTTCGCCTGTGCGTCCATCTTGCATCAATGGATAAGTAAGTAACCACTGAAGGACTTTCTCGACAGCATTAGGGAAATACTTTTAAGTCTTCTAATCTTATCGTCACAAAATCTCTGTTGTCTCATGACACCACTCTTCACAGGGGCTTAGTTCCACAAAGAGAAAGAAAGCGAGCACCTTTTGTATATGGCATTCCGGTCATTATGCAAGCACCAAGCATCTGTCGCGCTGAGAGTCGACGACGTTCGTGGAGTAAAATGTTATGCAGCCTTTGTTTTCCGTTTTGGGTGAACAATATGGCCCATACAACAAAAAAAATGAAATCCCGCCAAAAGTGAAAATTGAATAAAAAGTAATAATTAATAAATATATACTATATCATTAGATGAATATTTTGGAATAACATTTTAAAATCGAGGTTTTTCAATGGATAACGGTTTCAATCAAAAATTTGACCCCATTTTAGAATCTACATTAAAAATGGAACATTTCTTCGTTTCAAAATTCCAAAATAACGTTTCTATTCCTCTCAAAAGTAGAAAAATAAACTTTATTGGGAAAAAATATTTTATTTTCCAAAAAAAATGAAAACCTTAAATGCAAATCTAATTTTGATGCTTTTGTTTGTGATTTTTTGGATTTCGAAAAAAATTTGAAAATTCAGACAAGTTACCATTAACACTAATACGTTTTAGCGAGTCGGTCCCATCAGAGAAATTTTCATAAATCGGCGATATAATTTATTATTTCAGCAAAATATTCTCAGATCCAACTAGAATAAGGTCAAATTATACAAATTTAGCAAAGGCTAGTTATCCTACCTATTCAATTAACTTTAATTTTAAATAATTCAAGACAATTCTCAAAATTACCTTAATAATCGCTTTCTCTTCGCAAAATGACGATTCCTCATTCACTACCAGCATAACTGAGGGCTTGTGCTCACAGAATAATACAGATAATTTACTTATTAATGCAAAATTTAGTACCAAAAGGTAATCATAGAAGATACAAAAAAGTTTCTTTATTTTGATTGCTGATTTTATTTCTTCTAAAATTTACCAAATCTAAAAAATCCAAAATTGAATGCTATTGAATTTCATGTTTATGTAACATATACTATTTATTATATAAGGAATAAAAATTTTATAGTTTTAATCAAAAATAAGGGTGTACTAAATGCATACAAAACAAGGTATTTTTTACTCATCCAAAATATGTTAACAGTGCTATTTATATAATCAATATCCGAATTTCGAAATCATTTTGATGAAATCTTTATTTTAAAATTGAGTTGACTGTTAAAATCACCCGAGAAGAGGGATTATCTCAATGAAAAGTACATAAAATAGCAAACGCACAAGGTGGCACTATGCAGCTTTATATTGTTATACAGGATGAACATATAAAATGTTTGGAAAACACTTACTTCGTTCTACAAATGTGTATCTCTTTATATCAAAGATTCTTCTCAAATTATTGAGAGACTTCTCTCAAAAAAAGGAAAATTTGATAACTAAAAAAAATTATGGCATAACCTCTCGTTTTGCATAGATATATATTTACATGGTCACAGAGCTTATTTTCATTGTCAAAACTTAAAAATTTTTAGTGGACTATACCCTTAACAATTTCGTTTTATTTCCATTTATTGTTAAATGATTTTTAGCATACACCTTTCTTTGTTCATCTTCTAAATACAATTTATTTTTTCTTAGATATAATTCTATTCATTCAATTCGATCGTCATTTTTCAGTACATGATCGTAATTTTCAATTATTGATCGCGATTTTACTTCAGAATTTGTTCGCAATATTGCTTATCAAAATTATATCTCTATTCTCCTTTATATTCAACTATGGTGTTTGTTGAATAAGCTGTCTGGCCAACGAATTCGAGATATGTTGCTTTAGTGTTGGCAGAGATTAACTTGTCAATTCTTTCAATCATCAAAGAATCTTCGGAATGAGTAACGTAAATGTGGAAAATCATGGCAATATAAGCACATATAACAGAAAATCCACGTTCAACAAATTGAAATGGTTGATTTTTGAGGATACAGACAAAATAATATTTTGATCTTCCAATTCCATAAACAAATTCCATTATTTCGATGCCGTTGAGATGTATTTTGACACCATTTTCTGGATTCTTATGCTGTTCTATCTTTGGAAGAATATCTAATACAATTTGTTTCAATTTTGGATCATCTGAGATAAATTCAACGGTTTCGATCTTAGATGAAACGCTGCAGAAGAAACCAAGACCATCGTAATCTAATTTCCAATATAATGACTTGATTAAACCTGTAATTCCTTCAAGATTTCTTGAAATAACGGAAATGTCAAGGATAAAGTTCATCATTACATAGTCGTAGCAACGAGTGCATACAAACATCTTTGGCAAACAGCAACTTGGTGCGTAACATAATAAATCGTGGCATGGCAATTTAATTCTAAATTTTGTAGGACTTTCTGCGTAAATTGGAATCTTACAACGATTCATTGAATCATCTGCTTCAAATTCTCCGTTTCCAACAAAAATTGGCTCGTAAAATCGGATGTCTGAATTTGGAATAATTAAATTGCAAGCAATTGCAGCCCAACTTGATATTGGAATCGTAATAAAAATTTCTATATTGTTTTTGTCTATACTAATTACTCCACGTTGTAGTGTTGGATTAACAAACATCATTTTTTCGAATTTGAAAGGAATTGTTCTTTGAAGATCCCTCGGGATTTGATTAGAGCATTTAAAGATTGTTGTAACATTGAATGGATTATTCCTATATTGTATTTTTTTGGCCATATATTTTTCAAGTCGTGAAAAATACAAGTATAAGACAATGGAAATTATACAGAAGCCAATTACTTTTAATTCAAAAATAATTATATTTCGGAAAACAGGTGGTTCATAGATTGCAGTAAAATTATCTTTTTTTGGAAAACAAGATAAGATAAAACGAGTGCCAATTTGCGAACCAACTTTTACCTTGTCGAATTTTACTTCTAATTTGTTGAGTAACTCTTCAAGGTTGTCAAAATAATTTAATACTGAAATCGAATTACTCGGAATTTTATCATTTTCGTATAGGAACATGCCGTGCTCAATGGCAATTTCCTTTGCATCAGCAATAACCCCTCCATCTCTGCTGACGGCAAGAATGATAAAAAAAGAAGCATATCAATTAAAAAAAAATTAATGAAATCGTTTTATCACGATGATGCATAATATATCCTGCATGTTGTAAAACAATGCCAATTACTGTAAAATTTTTCTCAAAAGGTAAATTCAAATTAATAATACATATTATTGAGTTATATTAATTCACCATACTATTATACGTTGAATTAATCCAAAAAATACTAACCGACGAAATATTTGAAATACTATTCAAAAGATGATATTGTACCACTATATTCTAATATAAATTAAAAGGCAATCTTGCCTTTGAACTTCTTTTTCTTTTCAATTCAAACCTTATGTGATTTTATCAATAACTTTATATTCATTTTAAATTATTGATATAATATTTCAGATACTTTCAAATTTTAAATTACTTTTCAATCTTATTATTTTAAAAAAATCAAGTCTCATCACACTTTTCAATGCTCGATTTTTAAAAACTGTTTAAAAATGGAGCTTATATTGAAATAGTGTAGAGACTAAAAATTACCACAGACTATTTCAGAGGATTGAGTTGCCACTCAATCCTCTGAAAAGTCTGAGGTAATTTGCAAAATTAACTCATACCAACTTATGTATCAAATACTGTAAAATGATTCAAATTTTCAATAGCCAAGTGATATGAGATAAATTTTATATCACTTTTCTTCTTTGGCAATAGTTTTATATGATTAATTGGTTTTCCCCAGAATCTTATAACTATCAATACCTATCCCATTTCTTTCTTGCACTATGAATCAGAACTTTGCATTGATTAATTTCTAAATTTTAAATTAATTGTACTAGTTGAGAGATTGTATTTTTGATTCTGGTGGTAACAACCAAATCTCTATTGCATTTTTGCGATCCAAAGAGGAGTTTTACAATTTATTGTTCTTATCATATAATTGATCTCAATAGTATCGCTGCAATTATTGCCATACATAGAAAGAAAATGGATAAAAGAGATTTTTCATTATCAAAAAGCCTTTTAAAAATAGATATTTTTATTATGTTTTCTATTTGAATGATTAGGATATGATTATTCTCGAATCTACATTAGATAGTATTAGATTATTAAATTATACATAAATTGTAATTTTTGTAAAATTATTAATTTTTACTCGTCATGATGATATGAAAATAATGAATCATCATTGATTTAGTGATGTGGTCCTTCATTTGGGCCACCATGTGGACCATCCTTTGGACTGCCATGGCATCCACAATCCTTGTGTTCGCCTTTGTGACATTCATGACCTGGACCACCATGTGGACCGTCCTTCTTTCCTTCACAATGGCAATCGTGGCCGCCATGTGGACCATCCTTTGGACATTCGTGAGGACCTTGATGAGACATGATAAAAAAATGAAGTCATTTATCAATCTTTTCTTTCCTCTCAATTTTTCTTTTTATTATTTTATTTTAACGATGACAAATAAAAGCCTTATTCATTTTGAGGCACAATATATCTTTTTGCATAACACCAATTACTCAATGAGAAGAACCGTGATGTTGAAGTTTTTATATTTTAAGACTTTTATCAGAAAACATTAACGATAATTGTGAAGGAAAAAACCTTTCAACATCTCAATTTTTGATTTGCTTTTATGACAAGCCTATCACCTATATGTGACCATATTCATATTATTTGCATGTTTGTGAACTCATTATCTAAAATGCCTTAATGTGATTGAAAAGTTTATACCGGGTTAAAAATTATTGTTGTGTGTTTTAAAGTTAAATAGCATTATGGGGGAAGCTTCATAAATTTATAAAGAATAAGTAATAACTCATTTTTTGTACAAAAGTTACATGTATTTTATTTGAATGATTTTTTAAAAGATGAAATCGATCTGGTAAAATAAACTGGTCCTGAACATGCTTAATTCTAAGTATGATATTATTTCATGCTTAAATTCGCAATCAAAATAGTTTTAATTTGCATTTTATATTAATATACATCAAATAAAGATATTATTGATTAATAATTTACATAAGTCCCAAAATCATACAAATAAATAAAAACAAATATAATTATTGACCCTTGAGTGAGGATACAACAGAAAGAATGAATTCTCTATAAGTTTTGAGGTCACAGTCCAAAGGATCAGTGTCCAAAGGCAGTAAACTCAGTGTTGTTCCATTCATTACTACATCAATTTTCCTTGATGAACCAGGTGTTGGCAAAATGTTGTTGTTTGGTCTCCAGTTATAAGTTTCATTATTACTTTTATTGGATTTAACGGAGAATCCTTTTCTAGTGATATCCAAATTAAATGTGTTTCCTATCTGGTCTTTGCACTTTACAGTTAACAAACCATTTTTAACTGCATGAGAAATGGCAGAATTTATCTCTTCTTTGTCATCTTCGACAGGTCCAATTTCATTAGAAGTTCTCTGCTCATCATCCATATATCCAACAACTCTTATCAATGCACCTACATCATCTCTCGTAGGCCTGTATTTTGTCCTTGTTGACACAGTTGTCCAATTAAAACCATCATGTAAAGTTTGCCATTCAATTCTACAATTTTTGACAAAATCATCATTTGATGTTGCATTTAACAAAGCGCTGACAACAGATCTTCCTTCAATCATTATATATCTATCAGGAGGAACAACATCAGATGTTCTAACAGTAAACGGAGGTCCCAAGAATCCATCTTTATCAACAAATCTGACATCACAACAAACGTAGCAATTACAATCATCTTCAGTTATGATGTGAACATTCGTTTCATCTTCCATTTGAATGAACTGGTTTCCATCCCATCGCTTCCATTCGAATTTGTACTTATACTGCGGATTATCTTCTGTGGAAACGAATAATTGGGAACCAACACTCAATTTCTCTTCTTCTGTCATGAAACAATTTGGTTGTGGTAAAGCTCTTTCAACTAAATATTTCTCTTTAACCCAAATGATATCACTATCATCATTTGCTCGATAGCCACCTTCAATTTCACTTCCTATCATTGATGGCAACAATATTAATGATTTGCTGCCACCATTATCGATATCATCACAATAACCATCTTGCCAAATTCTCCAGAAATATTTGCCTTCGTCAGTTATTTGTTCTCCAACAATTGAAAGAGATCCACTTGGTAAAATCTCTAATCTCAAAGGTGAATCAAGGGAGATGATGTTGGAAATTTGGCAAATTTCGTAATCATCTTTATCATTAGGATTATAATTGACAGCTGTCAGATTTTTGTCAGAATTTTTAATGGTGTAAAAATTCTGTTCAGAAATAATCGAATTGTTCTGATCATACCATCTGACCATTGTTCTAGTGTCACTTTTTCTGAAGATATCTTCCATTTTTAGTAAACTGCCACTTTTGATTTTGATTGGTGTTACTTTTTCTTTTGAATCTTCATAATAAACGAATTTCTTTGTTTTCACGATAATTCTAATAAAGTGATCAATATCCGACCAAATAACTGTCAGATTTTTAGTATTTCCTATTTCTTCCCAAGACAAACCATCAAGTGATCTCAAGAAGGTAACACGACCTTTATCAGAATCAATTTTTATTTTAGAGTTCACTTGGAGCTTGGCCGGCAAAATCTGAGATTTATACAATCCGCTTCTTATCATCGGAGTTATGTTAGAATCTTTCACTTCACCTTTATCTGTTCTAACTTTTGCTTTGATTTTACAGCCGATATCTTCATGAGAAATTGCGTAGTTATCACCTCCTTCTTTGGCAATTTTGGTGTCACCCCCTCTTAAAACTCGGACCCATTCTATTTTATAATTGTCATTTTTATCATAAAAATCAACGAAAACTTGGCAAAGAGCTCCAACATAATCTCCTCCATCTGTCTCAAGTGTTACTGACTTTATATTGAAATTGTTCTTCGAAACCAATCCGAAAACAATGTCAATTTTGTTGTCAGAAGTGAAAAATCGTAAATATTCACCAACATCTTCGTTTTGTGGAGTATATTTATCGGAATAGTCGAGATCAACAAGCTCTAGGTCATTAGTTATCTGCCATTGACCTTCTGTATCCATTTCAATCTTTGATCCTTCGATTGGTTTCAATTGAGATTCAGCAATGATCAATTCAGAACTTTCTCGTAGCGGAATTGGTGTTTCTATGACTGTTTCAGAATATTCGCTATGATTTTCATCAGGAATAATATGAACACAGATGGTTGAATTATTTGTATTGATAGGTGGAGTAAATATCAATGAATCATTGATGTAGTTCATATATACACCATCTTCTGATAGCGTAAACCACTCTATCTTGCATGAGTTGGCTAAATCTTTCTCTCGGAACAGTAAAATGTGGGGATGACCGGCCAAATATGATCCTACTATGTTGGCATCAATGCTCTTAAGCATTTTGTCTTTGACTCTTTCTTTGGAGTACGAAAATAGTTCTTGTCCATCGATATTTACCTTAGCTCTGATGAATTTTCCGCCAAAATTTTCTGGTATTGAAAAATTGTATGGATATTCAATTTGTGCGGACTCTACGAAATCATTCAAAACATCATCTGATATTTCTATGGTAACCTTGAGCTTTTGATCGGGTGGAAACGTCTGAAGATTGATTTTATACTCTGTGTTGATTTCAGGATTATCTGGAACAGAAAACTCAAGAATTTCGATTTCATTCTGCTGTATTGTGACACTAGAAGCAACAGAACTAAACTCCACAGATGGAAAAGCATCAGAAATTGGACTTGCATAACATATTAAAATTTTTCCTTCAGTTTCCAATGGAATCTTGCAAATTGAATCGTGTGATATTTCATTATCATCAATTTTCCATGTAATTTTGGCCTGATTTACGTTTGTTGTAATAATATTTCCTGGTATTACGTCTCCAATAATTTCTGCTGTTACATTATGAAAAGCAACAGGAGTTTCACCATCCCAACCAACTGGGTTTGCTGTATAACTTGTAAATCCATCAAAATCGCATTTAATTAATTTTAATGAAAGAAAAGGAGTGATTGGGAGCGTTCTTGTTGGACAATCTAAATCTATCCATGAATTGTTTTCTAAATAATACCATTTGAACGTATTTGCTTCTCTATTCGGAACTAAACTTTTTGTTTGAGCAGAATCAATTATTTTTAAAGGTTGTTCACCTGAAAGAAAGTCTAGAGCAGAGTCCAAGTCATCGTCATCATGAATAAGCTTATTTCCGTTTCGAATCGAATATCCAATTAATTGAGAAATTGCAAAAGCTTTTCTAAATGTTTTTTCTTGTATTTTGACGTTATTAATAGTAGATAGATTGTGAGATGCGATTGCAGCAATCAATAGATATTCATCATACTTCAACGGATTTCCACGAAAATCTATTGAAGTCAAATTTGGATAAAGTGGGAAATCTTTCAGATTTGTAATTTGATTGCCTACTAGTGATAAGTATGAGAGTTGAGGAAATGATGGAAAGCCTTTAAATTTCTTTATATCGCAAAAATCAAGTGATAATGATCGTAAATTTTGAAGTTCGCCTAATGTTGAAACTGTGATAGGGTTGCTGCTGATGTTTAATGATATCAATGAATGCAATCTATCAGGAAAAGATATAATTTTATTCGAATTCACATCTAAATGTAAAGTATTTTCACTAACTGAGCTTGGTATCTCCCTCATATCGCCTGGTGAAAGTATTTTAAAAATTGACGAGGTCGATGATGAAGGAGATGAGCTCATTAAAATAAAATGATCAAAAATTCATCTTTTTTATATACATTTAATGCACTCTCAATAGGATATGATGCTGTTAATGAGCAGAAAAGAGGATATAAGAATAAAATTTTAAAAAAGTTGTAAAAATATACACAATTTAATGATGTTTAAAGTACTTATTATATATACAATTTATATCCCGTGAATTATTGAATTTTATTTTTCTCACCTTTCTGACAAATGCGATATAAACAATTCAATTACAATAAGGCAATTTAAATTATGGGTTCATAATTATGCAAATAATATTAACAAGGTTACCTCTGGATAATAAGCTTGTCATAGAAGCAAATCAAAAGTTGAGATGTTGAAAGGTTTTTTCCTTCACAATTATCGTTAATGTTTTCTGATAAAAGTCTTAAATATAAAAACTTGAACATCACGGTTCTTCTCATTGAGTAATTGGTGTTATGCAAAAAGATATATTGTGCCTCAAAATGAATAAGGCTTTTATTTGTCATCGTTAAAATAAAATAATAAAAAGAAAAATTGAGAGGAAAGAAAAGATTGATAAATGACTTCATTTTTTTATCATGTCTCATCAAGGTCCTCACGAATGTCCAAAGGATGGTCCACATGGCGGTCACGATTGCCACTGTGAAGGAAAGAAGGACGGTCCACATGGTGGTCCAGGTCATGAATGTCACAAAGGCGAACACAAGGATTGTGGATGCCATGGCGGTCCAAAGGATGGTCCACATGGTGGTCCAAATGAAGGACCACATCACTAAATCAATGATGATTCATTATTTTCATATCATCATGACGAGTAAAAATTAATAATTTTACAAAAATTACAATTTATTAATTAACAAGGGTATAGATTATTAAACAAGGAAATCTATTTCTTTTGAATTGGTGTATGAACATCTTTCAGAGACTTCTTTATTTTCTTTGGAGGTTGTGGGGTTTCTTCTTCAAATTCTAACTTTTCGAAAGAAGAGTCATGCCATTGATCAAAGTTATATGCAATTTCTTCTTTACAATGAATAGATATCGTTGATTTATCATTTGCAGGCAAAAGTGCTTTTTCTGCAATCATAATATCCTTTGCATACAAATTAGCGGATGACGCAGTAAAGCAAGCTTTTCCTGTGAATGATATTTGGTTAGATTTAATATCAATTTCCTTTAAATCACCTTTTCCTGACAAAGAAACAATATCATTGCTTTTCAGATATAATGATCCAGAAATTATACCTGAACAAACAAATTTCTTGACTTCCATTTCTTGTTTGCATTGGAAGTTCCCACTTACCAATACAATTGGCTTCAAGGTCGAATAAGGCATTGTTTTGCCAGTATTATTAAATGATGAATTCTTTTCAACAACTAATAAATCTCCTATACTTAAATTTCCTGAAGATTTAAAGTTGGAAAATGATGAAATATATAAAGATCTAATTGCAGCATTCTCGCTATTGAAATTACCATTACTTAATAGGAATGAGTTAGTAACAGTAAGTGCTGACTTATTGCTCATTGTCGCTTTGTAATCAGAGTTAGAAATATCAACATTATTCGATTCACAAAACAAATCAAATGCTTTAATTGTTCCTTCATTGATAAAAGGAACTTCATTCTTCTTTATATATAATAAAAGCAAGTCTATCTTCTTTTCCGATATTATTGAACCTTTGTTGATTATCTTTGATGATTCAATTGCAATTTCAGGACAATTAATTTTTGAATTTTTTCTAATTTCAATTGTTTGACACTTTACAAATAAATAACTTGAAACAAACGAATTTTTGAGTATAATGGTTGGTGAATGGATAAATACAGGTCCATTATTGACTTCTTCGAAAATTACTTTTGAAGTTGATGAAATAAACATCCCATCATAGTAATAAGAACTTGATTTGAACTCTAGTTCTTCTCCTACAAAGATAAAACAGTTGCCAGTATTATCTTTGTTTAAAATTGCTTCTTTGGATCGTAAAAGGAAAGATTTCGCAGATACACTTCCATCTGATTCAAATACATCCGAAATTATTTCAAATGAGTCAATATTTATATCGGTATTAAGATATATCGATGGTGAAATTAATCTTATGCTTTTAACATCTGTTGAAATGGAGCGTATTTCAATTGGTATATCACATTCTATAATTAAGTGGCTTGATTCTTTCTGAATACTTAAAATAATAATATCATCTTTGTCTTCTGTAGTTTCAATATCGATTTTAAATGGGATATCAACCTTTTTCTTTTTATTTTTAAGTGATTTAATGATTGTATTTCCTTGGGTATCGATTAATTTGAAATCATTAATTTTATAATGAGGAGTGCTATTGAAATTTTCATTATTTTTGAGTATAATACTTTCAATATGATGATTACATTCATCAATTTTTGATTCTATTTCTTGTATATGTGAAACTCGATTGATATCCATCCCAAAAAGAGTATTCGCTTCAAGATATGAACCTGGAAGCAATTCACATCCATCATCCTTTACAATACTAAGCGATGAAGATGGATTTAAGAAGAATGAAGAAATTTTATTAATCGCATCACTTGATTGGATATCAGCATGGAATAGTTTTTGGCTGTTCTCTGCATGAAAAATGTCATTATGATCAATAATTGATGAAAATTCATGTTGTTCTGTATCTTCCAATATGAGTTTATGCTTCATTCATTTATATGAAGTTTTCTCAATAAATACAACGCCCTAGGATAATGTGTGATTGTTTTGCTTTTAAAATTAAATCTACTGATCTAATTTTGTTCTTGTTTATATCAGAATAAAACATACTTTGATTATAAGAGGAAACCACTTTAAGATTTAATGTAGTTTAAAATCTGAAATCAGTTTCTCTTAGAGTTAAGAGAAAGAATAATAAATTTAGAATATAACTTATTTTATATGCTAAATTCAATATAAGATAAAATAAAAGTGTATTTATTTAAAACAAAACCCAAATGAATATTAAAATTTCTTGAATAATAAGTAAATTCCAAAGAAAGAAACAAAAGGTGAAAGAAGAGAAGCAAGAAATCCGAGACAGCATGCACCAACTATTTTAACGCGAGCAGAACGGTAAGTTTTGCAGGACTCCATGAAACGAGCAGAAAGATTGCTGAAAGCTTGAGTAACATCTAAATTTTGGGATGAACGAATTACAAATTGTCCTTCATATGATCCAGCATCAAGTGTAGAAATGAAATTTTCTGCTCTATTTATCATCTTATTGCAACTTTTGTCGGATTGTTCCTTATCTCTAACAAAAAATTAATTTTTAAAAAAATGACCGAATACGTTTCACAGCGAGAAAAAAATAAAAGGCAAGATAGAATTTTCTAGACATAAAGAAGTTGTTTACCGAGTTTTAGCTCTTATCTCTAACAAAAAATTAATTTTTAAAAAAATGACCGAATACGTTTCACAGCGAGAAAAAAATAAAAGGCAAGATAGAATTTTCTAGACATAAAGAAGTTGTTTACCGAGTTTTAGCTCTTATCTCTAACAAAAAATTAATTTTTAAAAAAATGACCGAATACGTTTCACAGCGAGAAAAAAATAAAAGGCAAGATAGAATTTTCTAGACATAAAGAAGTTGTTTACCGAGTTTTAGCTCTTATCTCTAACAAAAAATTAATTTTTAAAAAAATGACCGAATACGTTTCACAGCGAGAAAAAATAAAAACTGTACACTGATTTTCATTTTCATTTCCAGTCACTTTACTTATTATTTTTCTTTTTTTCATTTTAATTATAAATTATTTCGTAATACGTTTATTTACGTTACCATTTTCTTTATTCTTTTGAATTCCATACTAGACACTTATAGAATATTTTGATTGTTAACGTACTTCATTAGAATGAATCCTTACAAAGGGTATGTCGATCGAATTTACCTAATTGGTATTTCCAATCAGATTGAAGAAGGTAAAATGACATGGGAAGAAGCTTGCACCCATGTTCCCATCGCCCCAACCCTTCAATCAAATGATTTCAAATATTTAGATGTTTCAAAATCTTTTTTACAAAATCAATTTAGCTTACAGAATATCCCATTGCCTAAAGGCAAGAAAGGTCGTGGGGTCAATCCCTACGACCAAATCAAAGCTCTTGCTGTGATACATGACCACTGGGCCTTTCCCTGTGGTCAAACAAAACAATGGAAACGTTTGAAATTACCAAATTGATGTATCTTATAGAGAAGTACGCAGATACTTCAAAGAAAATCATTTCACCAAGACGCGATTAGAGCATGCCGGGCCAGAAACAGCAGTAAGATATTGGGCACTTTCACTCAATCTTATCTGGCACGCAGATGTTCATTATTTTAGGGGTGTTCGTGGCCAGTATATTTATGGCATAATCGACGATTTTAGCCGCAAAGTCCTAGCGTGTATACAAATACCAGATATGCTGGCAGCGACGACAGCGAACGTTGCGGCTTCCGCCTTCATTGAATTTGGCGCCCCTTATTGTTTCTGGACCGACAACGGTTCAGAAAATAGGGGCGCCTTTCAAGATCTACTTGATCTTTGGGGCGTCCAATGGCGGCATACAGACTCTCATTCTCCCTCCCAAAATGGGAAGATTGAGAGATTCTGGCCGACATTGGAGCGCTGCCAAAGCATTCAGGCTATTCCTGCCTTTATTTGGGAGTACAATAATAACACACCGCATGAAGATCTCCCAATTAATCCATTAACTGGAACAAATTACACGCCAAATCAAATGTATCAGCTGAAACCGAAATACACAAATGCAGATACAGAAAGGTTGTGGCAAATATGGGATACAGATACAGGCATGACCGCTGTTGACACATTCACAGCGTAATAATAAACATAATTTTTTAATTTCATTTTTAACAAGTTTTTTTAAATGTATGTAATGAATAATTCATTAGAATATGATATTGCACATTGTAACAGAATAGAACAATCACCAAATTTTTTTTGAAATTAAAAAATAAAAGTAAAAAGTATAAAGTAATCTAACCAAAAAAGATATTTAAAAGAATTTTGGAAAAAACAGAATAAGGATAATGATATTATTTTAGATACACAATCGATGTACTGAAGAATAATCCGGTAAAATGATGATATAAAATTAGATTATTTTACAAGTAGCTAAAAGAATAAAACTATAATATAAAATAAATGAAGTTGAATGAAACAATAAAGGTTAAATAAATAATAAAGATTTTTATTTATATCAGTATTGAGAAGAAGTAACAGCTGACACTTGGTAGACAACTTCTTTATGTCTAGAAAATTCTATCTTGCCTTTTATTTTTTTCTCGCTGTGAAACGTATTCGGTCATTTTTTTTAAAAATTAATTTTTTGTTAGAGATAAGAGCTAAAACTCGGTAAACAACTTCTTTATGTCTAGAAAATTCTATCTTGCCTTTTATTTTTTTCTCGCTGTGAAACGTATTCGGTCATTTTTTTAAAAATTAATTTTTTGTTAGAGATAAGAGCTAAAACTTTGCAGACAACTCCCCCATGTCTAGCAAATTTAACATTCGTCTCCCATTTTTATATATTTGGTTTAGAATGTTCGAAAATGCGTAATATGGTCATTAATATTAATTGAAAAGAACCTTGAATTAATTCAATCTGATCTCACAAAATATTTTAAATTACAAACTTTGTAGTTTGAATAGATAATTAGTATTAAACTCAAATAACTAGTTTATTTTTGAATAAAAATTATTTGAATTTATTCAATTTTGTGAATTTTCCTTCAAAAATCAAGTTTAAATATCTTATTTGTCATATAATTATAAATACAATGAAACATATTCGAAATTGAAAAGAATGACTTTTTCTGTTCTTTCAATCATTCAATTTGAATTTTGCAATATTGGGTTTCTCATTAAATAGCTATTAAAAACAACAAGCAATTTAACTTACATTCAAATTTATTTGTGTTATATTCAATCTTCTCAAAACTTATAATTTTCGGCTATAGCATGATTATATGCTATATAATATAATAAACCTATAATAGTATCATTCTTTCAATTATTTGAAGAGAAAACCGAAAAAATCTATTTTCGGTCTATAACAGTAAAAACGTATTTTTATGAGAATTAATAATTTCGGAAAATGTGTATAAATGCTATTTAATTTAAAAGGAAAATATTAAAAAATTTTTCTATCAAAAGATTTTACATTCATTTCAAAAGTTTTATTTTTTGAGACCACTCACAATTTATGTAATTTTATAAAAATGGTTGCAATACCCGAAATTGTTAAACGAGCTATCCCATTTATTGCATGTACAATTGAAATAATTGCAACAGCTTCCTGCTTTTATATGTATGATCACATAGCTGATGGTCATTCAAGTACAGTTGCAAGCGGGTATTCGCCAAAACATTACAAAGTTAATCTCGAATATTATTCATTAGTATCACTCTTTATGTTTGGAATGATTTCACTTATAATGGCAATTGCAGAGTTAGGTCTTGTTTTCATGCCTCAATACTTTAAATTTGTAGATTCTACAATTTTAAGAGCAGTAATATATATACTTACTGGTGTTGCAATTATAGGTACATCAGCTGATCTCGGAATTGCTGCAGGATCCATGCAATTTATAATTGCTACTGTAATGATTATTATATACCTACTTGAAAATGGCATCAATTGCAAGTAAATTACGTGTTTTCATTTAATATTTGTTGAATAAAAAAACTAGTTCGAAAAAAAAATAAAAAAAAAATTATTTACAAACAAACTAATATATTACAAACAAACTATTACGTATTTTCTTGCAATGTTGCAAGAAATTGCCTTGCAACTTTCTTCAATGGACCACTTTTAGCATTGGCTTCGAAGAAAGAATCAACTTCAAGTTCAATTAGTCTTTTCTTACATTTCTTATATGCAGCAAGGTTAACAGCTAAAAAAGAAGCTGGCTCTAGTAAATTTCCTTCTTCTTTAAGAATGTCTGCAACAATATCACAAGCTTCAACATATTCTGGAACATATCCGCCATCTAGAAGTCTATCCGTTAATAGCAAGAAGGCATGCAAGCTTGTTTCATCTCTTGAAGATTCAGCTGATGAATAAAATGTTTCGATAAATCCAGATTCGCTTAATTGCGTAATTAAATCTTGTGATATCGGTAATCTTCTCACAAGCATACATATAGCCGATAATAGGCTTGAATTTCGTGTTTTAGATATTAGTTGTAGAAATTGAGGAAATTCTTCAGATTGAGCTAAAATTTTCCTTGAAGCTTTGCTTTTGAATAAAACGAGGACTAAGCGTAATGTGTCATTTACTGTTGGCAACTTTTTAAGTATCCATCCATTCAAACTCGCTAAATTTTGTGCTATTTCAGGATTTGTAGCTAATTCCATGAGAACTAATGTGGCATTAATATTATGTGCTGCTATCTTTATTAAACCGCTTAAAAGGCCTTGGTTGGCAAATTGAGAACGGTCAGTTTTGGTCATTATCAGAAAAGAGAGAATCACTTGATGTAAATCTTCTGATTTAAGATGTTTCTTTATCAATAGCGGGTCAATAGTACCCTGCTCATAGTATTTCGATATTTCTGTTAAACAAATATAACAAAATCTAATGGTTTCCAAATCTAAGCTTTGCAGCATCTTTGTTACATGCTTCCACACATGCTTGATTCTTTCACGACGAAAAATCTTGTAATTTTTAACGAGATGAGTTAAGAGTGAAATATAATCTTCGGCGATGTCAGGACCTTCAAAAGGCTCTGAATTTGTAAACAAAAGATCGAGCATGGGCCAGGGATCATCAGCATCTTCAAAATTTTCTGAGTAATATGCAATTAATGTTAATACTTTTGATGGTTCTAAATGTATTAGGGTTATCATATTCTCTACAACGTCAGTATCAATAGAATTGATATCTTTAAGCATAAGACTGTATAAGAAATCGCAAATAGGTTTTCTAAGCCCTTTTATTCCAACAGGAAGTTTAACAGCAAATCCTCCTGATATGAATACACTAAGAATCGTTTCATCGTCTAATGTCGCCATTATTACTTTAATTATGAATTTTGCTACACTTAACGGGATATTTTGTTTGAAATCATCAAAAAGTTTGGTAAAAAATGCATGGGCTTGCTTAGGTGTAAGCAAATCAGGTGATTTTTCTAGTTCTTCTATGAATTCAGGACAATTTGGATTCCCAATGGCATCCAAATTTACCCCTTCCATAAAAAGTGACATTTATAACATTTGTATATTTGTGAAAGCATTCAAGACCCTGAATCAATAAAAAACAATATACTCTCTCTTTAATAGTTCATATTTAATAATTGTTTTTATAATTTTAGTTTTTGATTGGAATCTTGTTTCTGAAATCATTCATTTCAAAAGATAGTTGAGTCATATTCATATTTTACACATCAATTTGATTAATAAATGCATAATTTTATTGAATCAAAGATGAGTTGAAGTCATTTTAATATTTGAAGAACCAAATTGTGAAGTTGTTTGAGTTAACATAATATCCTCGTTTGTACATTTGATGTTGTAATGATTTCGTGTTAAAAATTGATAAACGAAGATGAATCCGAATTATTTTTTGTCGTAAAATGGTGGCTTGCCGTTTTAATTTATATATTTATCATAAATGTGAGGAAACAAGTATAATGATCAAATGATAGAGGCTTAGATGTCACAATTTACTGGCATAATCTGACGTAATTGATAAGCTAGAAAATCTAAGAAAGTACTTACTGTTATACGAAGCAATATATCTAATTTTAAAATATCTTCAAATTTTTTGAGAGCACCAGATTTTTTGATGATTTTTACGAGTATCTTGGTTACTAAAGTACTCACAAAATCTAGATTGAGAGGCGGTCAATGACTTTTGAGGGGAAATTAACGCATGGAATTTAATATTATTTAGGTTGATATTCTTGCTTATTATTTCAGAAAAAAATCTTAAAAATTTCAATATGAAAATTGAAAGCAATTCAAAAAATTGCTAACATGTAAATTTTAATATCCTATGCATAATTTCATATTTTGAACATTTTTTATTTTTGTTTAAAACTTAAAATTTTGCGAATTTAATATAATTTATAAAATATAATACGTATATATATTTAAAATACACTAAATTTAATTGTTAATTGACGTTTTTGGGAATGAATTTTATCAAAACATGCCTGAATCCGAAAATTTGAAAGAACGAATTACACAATCATATATGTAGAATTCAAAATACAAACTTAAAGATTGTATACGTTTAAAATTATTCAGATTGTGTTTGATTTCCACTCATTCTGTTTCTTTTGAACTCTAACACTAACATTTCATGATGATTACATGATCCATTTATACATGGTTGAATTGTTCCAGATTCTACCAGAAAATCAATCCAAATTTCTCAATGCATTCATGTTGATTGGACAAAATTTAAAATTTATCAGCCTGTTTCCAGAAAAACTCATATATTCCCTAATGAAATGTAATTTTTGCTACATTTATTTCAATCAAATTTCAAAAAATTGACTGCAGAGCTTGAAAAGGTGATGAATCATGTTGTTATTAGATGTACATATTAGATTTACTATTTCCAAAAAATGCTCAAATTTGAATAGTTTTTAGAAAATTTGGAATTACACTCCTTACATTATATATAATTAAATGTTTAAATTTTATTTATTTTTCCCTTTTAATTTTATAACGTGCTCTATCAAAACTAACCTCTCAATTGAAGGCCACAAAATCTAAGTAGTGAGGGTACACAAATTTTGTATGGAGTACGGTTCAATTTTTGAGAGCCTCACTACTTAGATTTTGTGACTACCTTACTATTTTGAAAATTAATGCAAATTGTTTTCACTATCAGATGTCAGAAATTTATGAAAGCAGTGGTTACAATATTATTATAAAAAGAATATTTTTGTGAATGACACCCGAATATATTTCTTACCATTCTCAAAAAATGCACGTTAGATAATTGAATTCTTTTTTTCTTTCAATTTCCGAATATTCGCAGTATAAAACCAATGAGCGTGATAAAAGAGGGAGTTATAAAAAAGCAAGGCCATTTTATCAAGAACATCAAAGAACGATGGCTGGTACTCACAACCGAAACACTATGCTACTATACTGGCAAAAAGGGGCAACTTAAAGGCGAAATCAAATTGACAAAAGATATGAAGCTATATAATAATAAAGAATTCAAGTTGCAACCATGCTTTAGCCTTGAAGATGGAACGCGCAGAACATATAATTTTGTTCCAGAATCCAAAACTGAAAGAGATGCTTGGATATCTGCTATTGAATTTACCATTTCATTGTTAAATGGTCCACAAAACGCTAAAATAATCAAAAGAGTAGGAGATATTATTGATAAGTTTTATAATATTTCTGAATTACTTTGGGGACATCATTCAGATCAAATTTCACAAGTTGTTAAATTGCTTCAAAGGTCAATAGAGCAGAATGATTCTACGTTTGAAGATGCTTTGACAATGATAGCTAGAATCCAGAAACATCGAGTAGCATCTACCGCATTTTATGCAGAAGTTGTTGATACACTAGCAAAGAAATTAGGTGAAAAGCTCAAAGACAAACATCTTGATATATTACACAGATTCAAATATGTACTTATCAAATTGAACATTGTCCATGGCACACTGCCTGAAGAATATAAGGATTACACGGACAAAGAACTTATATTTAAATGAAGGCAGAATGATTTTCGTTTCCTTGTTTATACAAAAGATCTCAAAGCTCTTGAAACCAAAATGCCCAAGATGAGTGATGATGACATTGAAGATGCAATGGAGCTTGCTGCACAACTCGGATTTAAAGATGTTTACTTCCTTTTCCGCAAGAAAGGCCATAAATTACAAGATCATCTTGCCCACAAAGCATATTTTGGAGGTTGTTCCGAAATCATTGCAGACATAAAGGCCAAAATAACAGTTACAGAAGATATGATGCGCGAAATCATTGAAAACCACTATGTAGTTGCATATCGATTACTTTGCCAACACAATGAAGATCTAGAATTCTCATGGACATCATGTTTGAAGTCATACAACTACAAATTCTTCTTCCAGAAGATGTTTACTACATATAGTTTTGCTAAATGCGACAAATTTGGCAAAAATATTGTTGTTGAAGCTGCCAAGTATGGAACCAAAGAATTGGTTCAGTTGTTAATTGATTGTGGTATTGAATACGATATTCCAAGCAAAGATACAAACCATACAGCCTTCATTGAAGCACTTTTGAACAAAAAACTTGACATTGCAGAATTACTTGCAAGAAAAGGTGCAACAATCGATACTAAAGATGAAACAAACACAACACCTTTGATGATTGTTTGCGAACAAGACAATGCAGAAGTCGCAACATTCCTTTTAGATAACAATGCAAACATTGATGCAGCAGATTTTGAAGGAAAAACTTCTTTGATGAGAGCAATTGCGAAAAGAGCTTTGAAGACTGTTAACCTGCTTATCACACGTCATGCAAGTGTTAATGCTGTCGACAAACAAGGATTAACTGCATTGCATTATAGCTGCAAGTTTGGATATGCTGAAATCACAAAACTTTTAATAGATAATTATGCCAAAATTGAATTGGCAGATTTTGATGGTTACACACCAATATTCCACGCATGTATGAGCAATGATATCAACACAGTTCAGATACTGTTAGAAAATGGTGCAGAAGTCAACAAAATGGCACCAAATGGAGAATTCCCACTGAGAATATCAATTGAACAGAGAGACCAAATGTCAGCATCGTTAATCATTAATTCAGGAATTAGAATTGACTACCAAACAGCTGAGCAACTCCGAAATTTAGCATATCATAATGAACTTATTATCATTGGTGATCAAATTGCAAGACTTTTCCAAGGTTATTAAATAAATATGTATGTTTGAATGTATTGTTTTTTATACTTTGAAAAAATAATATTTTTCAAATAATTATTTGAAATATCTATTACAAGCTATCCCATAGATATATTATCTAAAAATATAGCGTGATGAAATACAAAAATGGACGAGAAGTGTACTTGCCCTAAATCATTCAAATCAGTATTTCCATTGAATTCAATTATGCGAAAATTCAATCACTTTGTAACACAATTATATTGTCAGTATCCAGAAATCCTGAACTATTTTACTTTCATAGAAATTTGAAAAATGTGGCGCGCAATAAAGAGTATTCCGATTGAGAACACGAGGATATGAAGCTGTCATTGAGTTAAAGACTATGAACCCATGGATTTATTAATATTGGATAAGAGTTTTATTCAATTGAGTTTCTTGTGAAATTTTTACTCGATAAAATAGCTTAGGATGCAATATTGGTTTAAATGTTTTCTTGTAAAATTAAATACTTTTGATAGGGGTATCGTTATTGTCAGGAAATTTCTGATGAGCGGAATTACTGAAGAACTCCGTGATTATTCATCTGATTCAGATTCTTCCGGAGAAGAAAAGAGCTCCAGTAATAAAGTAGAAGAACACAAATTTGATATACATCCACGTCGTCCTTCTGCAATGTTGGAAAGTGATCTTCCAAAATACAATACTTACAAATGTATCAAGGTTAAAAATGGAATGCATAGAGGAAGGTGCATCCATTTTGAATTAGTTCTTGAAGATAGACATCTTTTCCATTCAAAAGTTTAAAAAATGACCCAAATAGAGCCAATACCAATTGGAACCGGCACTGAAGTTCATTACAGAGGAGAACACGAGTATCTTTTGCTCACAAACTCAAATCATGAAGCATTTTCGCTTCGTGAAAAAACACCAAAAGGCAAAGAACTTCTTGTCATATCAATGTATTAAATAGTCTCGGTTGACGAACCAAAAACTGTACGTATTGTTTACAATAATATCAACAAAGAAGGTACAACATGCTTAGTCAGCTGAAAACCAACGAAAAATCCAGACGGAACATGGATTCTTGATTTCACTGATAGGTATACAATTCCCAGTAAGAAGAATGCAATTCTTGTTGACGAACAAACGAAAAAGGAAGTTTTAGCTCTCAGAATGATAAATGAAGATGAAATTGAGATAGATGCGGTTATAACAGTTCCGCCTCTTTATGTGTTTGGAACAGGCCTTTCATTTTGGTTGTCTACAATTTAGCTTTTTTGTCGAAAATTTATGTAAATTTTAATGTTTAAAGGACCTCATCGATACATCGAAACAAATTTATTTAATTTAGCATATCTCATATCGATAGCCAGGTTTTTGGCATATTAAGAAAAGATAATATCTTCGATTAGATATTAGTTCATCTTTTTGCATCGCCTGTTAAGATTCAATCTTACATATAATTTGTTTGTGCAAGATTCTCAGTAAACTGTCTTAAGTCCGAAAAAACTATTCTCTGCCATCTAAAATCTAATCAAATTCAGAGCAATTGAAAAATCTTGATTTTGATTGGTTTACAAAAAGTGGCATTTTCTTCTTATTTATTAATGAGTAACTCATTACCATCAATTGACCCAAGAATTCCAGATGCAGAGTTCTTAAATGTGTTTAATGAATTTGAGAACGACGTTAAAAACGAAATCAAAGTTGAAAATGAATATCGTATTCCGGCAATTCTTGCTATTTTAATAGGATCAAGATCAATAGATTATTTCCCAACATTTCTTGATGAAGCTGTTAGTTCTGGCATTACAATCACACAAATCAAAGAAATAATTTATCAAGGCATTATGTTAATTGGAATGGCACATGTTTATCCATTCCTTAAAATCGTTAATGAACATTTCAATATCTCTGAACCGGCAGATCATCATTCTACGGTTACAAAAGAAAATAGAAAAGAAAAAGGTATCGAGAAATTGAATGAATCATTTGGATTTATAATGAACGGTCTCCCTGGATTAGGACCAATGAGTGACTGGCTCATGAAATATTATTATGGTGAATTGTACACAAGGGATATTTTATCAATGAGACAAAGGGAACTTATACTTTTATGCTTTTTATCTGTTCATGGTGATTCTTATATGGCATTATCTGCTCATGTTATGAGCAACATTAACGTTGGAAACGATAAAGAGTTTCTTAAGAATGTTTTTTATTCCCTTGTACCATATATGGGATCTGTAAAGGCTTATAATGCGATAAAATGTATTGATGACTGGAAATCACCTGTTCATTCAGATTAAGACTTATTTTGAAAGTATTGATCATAAAAAGTTCATATCATATGATTTCTTTATAAACTTTACCGCATTTAGATCTATTATGAATTTGCAGTAATTTGAATTTATATTGTGATGGTCAATCATGGAAAATCTTCACAACTCTGCAGCTGGAATAAGCTCAATTGCAAAATATTGATTAAAATATAAATATGTTTAAAAATCATATTTGATTCAGAAAGTTTTTAATAATTTTTTTTTCAGCTTTGAAGGAATGCTCTCAAAATTGAAAAATAATCATTTCTTCGATGCCAAATCATTATGATAGTACAATATTATTTATCGGTCCTGAAGATGAGATTGATAGATTCTGTCGAGACTTTGAAGCATCAAAAGTGAAACACATTAACTTTGAAAGGTATTGTATATGCCAATTGGTTGATCCTATACCTGCATTTATATATGTTTCAGATTCAAAATACCATTATGGAGAAAAGCGTCCGCTGACAGATGAAGAAAAAGTTATTCGCGAAAAATATAAAGATTATCCTTCAGAATGGTGGGGTGTACGCTATGGCTGCTATGAATCAAATTTCAAAAGAATGGATGAAAATAGGGCTATATTTACATTTTGGACACCATATTCACCAATTGAAACCAGAATTTTCGTGCTGTTGCACAATAAATATCCAGCTTTAACTATATATTTTGAAGGAGAAGATGAATGTAATCCAGAATATTCGAGTAGAGAAATAATTCTATATGATTTTCCTATAATTCCAGTCGAAAAACTGAATGAAGTTCATTAGGAAAGCATGAAAAGAATACCATTTCGTTTGTTTTGAATTAAATGATATTAATCCAATAGGTATATCATGATTTCATTTTATGGCGTATAATCCCAATATTAAATAAATAAAACAGCTCTAAAACCTTTTGAGATGTTATTATTTTAAAAAAAATGCTTGCTGTGGGGATTGAACCCACGCCCTCTCGGATACGAGTCTGAATTGTACGCCTTAGACCGCTCGGCCAAGCAAGCTAATCGAAAATTTGAAAATAGGTAGTTTTGTAATATAAAAAATTCACTTTTATCGGATAAATATAAAAAATTGTTACCCATTCGAACCTGAGTCTTATGATGATGCTTAATATAATATCGTTAAGTTAAATAGATTCAAATAGTTTTATTCTAAATCATAAACATATTTGGAATTCAAAATACATTTATTCGTCTTTTTGCTTAATCATCTTAAGTATCTCTGACTCACCAGCATCAATAATAGAGATGACTGATGAACGGAAGTACTTACCGCAAGCAGTACCAAGATCAACGTTATCACCATCGAAAGGAAGGATATCGCAACCAGAGAGCATAGCGTAGTACTCAATGAGAGAACGATGAGCAGGGGCAACATTTGAAGCAAAAATTACGAGTTTTGCTTCGCCATTGCGAAGTGATTTAAGTGTTTGGGAAATACCAAGTGAATATTTGCCTGACTTTGTAACAAGTGAAAGAGAGTTAATGATTGATTCACGTGCGCGGCTCAATTTTTTACGGCCCATTGGTAAGGCAGAACAAGCGGCTTTTTTATCGTCGCTACTCGCACCGTCACTTTTTCAAATTTGTTCATATCAAAAACCAAAATCACTCAGAGAATTATGAATAAACACAAAATTTGATTTTAGTTTCATTGATTTTGAAGAATATTATACACGAGAAAATCCTAAAAAAAATTTATTGATCATAGTTTTTTATACGGATAACATATTTTTAACACAAAGTCGACAGACATTGTATCCTTATATTCAGATCGCAAAGATATTCGAGCGTTGAAAAAATATGTATAAAAAAACGAATTAAATAATAAAAAACAAACAAATATTTAGTCGAGTAGGCTATTAACCACTTCTGGAGAACTTGGTTCTTCTTCATTCATGGCTAAATCAGCATGAGACAAAACATCCTTCTTGATGAGTTCAAACGCAGGCAATGTATACTTCCTTTGGCTGTGCGGCTTGAAGAAATTAAGACTGACGTTGGAAATATTTGAATCTAAAAATTTCAAAATTCCAGCAGAATTGTGAGTTCCACAATAATCTGCTGAGCTAAAAATAGTAATGAGGCATTGGCTTTCAAATGGGAAATCATATCCATTCATGCATTGTTCATGGGAGCGGCAAATCAAAGAGAGCTTCAAGTTATTTAAGAAGTTCTTAACATCGCATTGCCCATAAACAAATCCTGCACCACGCACACATTGACCCTTAACATTTTCATCATCATTTGGATCACTCCACAAAATATCAGTTACAGGACCAGGATTTGGTTCACCGTCTGTTTTAGCAATAGCATAAAGTTCTTCGCGGGAGTTAATATTGCGTGGTATGCCTCCATGGACGCATAATACTTCATTATTTAATATAATTCCTATTGGCAAGTTATCAAAGGCATTCATTGTTGCATTATAAATAGCTTCATTAGCATAACGATCACATTCATCCTTAAATCCGTAGTATTCTGTCATCGAACGGGATTCATGATTACCACGAATTAAATAAATATTTTCTGGGAATAATACCTTGAAAGCAAATAGGATCGAAATAACTTCAATTGAATTTTCTCCTCGATCAACATAATCACCTAAAAATATGTATCTTGTCTTGTCTGGATATCCATTCTTTGTAAATATTCTTAACAATATATCAATATTTCCGTGGATATCACCAATAACGATAAACTTCCCTGATACTTCAATGAATGATGGTTCTGTTTCGAAGAGTTTTTCTGCTTCAATTAATATATCTAATAATGTATCGTGATTTGCACAGTGAGTATGCTTTGGATCCATTACGTTGGATATAATATTAACGATGAAATTAGTGTATGCCTTTTGGGACATCAAGAAAATTAATGCTGTTTTTTTAAAAAAAAAATTGTTAAAATTTTTCTAATTCAAAAAGGAAAAATTTTTGTATGACCTATCAAATTATGACACTTTTAAAAAATTTGTGAAATGTTCAAGGCAAAATTATTTCACATTTATATTAACTTGAGACAAATAGATAAATAGTCGTTTCACTGAATTTTTTTTTTCAAGAAAAACGGGGATCAAATTATGCCTGTGTTGCATGCTAAGTTCGGTCAACGATAGGAATTGAGGGGAAATTAATCGTCGAGGAAGTACGATTATGTAAAGTAAAAAAATGTTGTGGGATTTTTAATATTGTATATAATTTTATAATAAAATTTTTGTGAGACATTTTAAGAAGCACATATAATTTTTTGAATTTAAAAATTAAAGTAGTGTTGAATGAATTTATTGATTAATATAATACGGATATTTCTCAAAATTAATCAAAATAGGTTTTCAGAGAACTTTTGAGATATCTTTTCAAAATGTCTTTTTGAAATATATAAGTATTATATCAAATTGAAAAAAGGTATTTATCAAAATTCTAAATTCTTAATAAAAAATAACTTTTCAGAGGATTGTGATTTTGAAAGCATGAGTAATAAGTAAAAAATATCTACGATTTTAATGAGGGAATTGTTCCTTATGAGGTATACATTATAACTATATACCTCATAAGGAACAATTCCCTCTTGATAGCTGGGAAACTTTCTCTGAAATAACTTATCATTTGGAGAAAGTTTCCCAGCTATCTATTAGAAACTAAAGGCTGTGAGGCACTAATATATAATCAGTGCCTCATAGCCTTTAGTTTCTTATTAAAAACGAGAAAACTTGTTCGAAATGATAAACAATTTCGAACAAGTTTTCTCGTTTTAAGGAGGGAATTGTTCCTTATGAGGTATACAGTATGAATATATACCTCATAAGGAACAATTCCCTCTTGATAGCTGGGAAACTTTCTCTGAATAACTTATCATTTGGACAGAAAAAGTGACACTTTACATGGCAAAAAATAGAGCCTTACTTTTGAGATACTTGAGATTGAAACTGAATCTTATGAGGCGGTGATCTTGAATCACTACCTCATAAGGTTCAGTTTCATATAAAATTTGTTGCAATTTGTTATTCTTTTGCAATTATTTCTTATAAGATTTTACATCTTTTAGCGGGGAATGTTTGTTATCATGTATATATTATAAATATCTACACGATAACGAACATTCCTCGCTAAATTGCTGAGAAACTTTGAGGAAATGTCGAACAATTTCCTCAAAGTTTCTCAGATTTATATAGATCACTAGAGTCCCCTAGGCACTGATTCTGGTTCAGTACCTAGGAGGCTCTAGTTCTCTAACGAACTGATAAAATGTTTTTAAATTTTTGGATATTGCTACCTGTGAAGCACTGACTTCAAGTCAGTACCTCACAGGTAGCAATTACATTGAAAGATGGGAGAAACTTTGTCCGAATGTTAAACTATTCGGACAAAGTTTCTCACATTTGTAGTGGAGATGGAAGGCTTTGAGGTATATTGTATTAATATATACCCCAAAGCCTTCCATCTCCACTTGAAAGTGTCCAAACTTTGGGTTAATACTTTGCAATTAACCCAAAGTTTGGACACTTTCTAGAAGGAATTGGAGGGTAAGAGATATACATTCATATGGTATATCTCTTACCCTCCAATTCCTTCTTAAAATGGGAGAAACTTTGTCCGAATGTTAAACTATTCGGACAAAGTTTCTCCCATTTTTTGAAGGAATTGGAGGCTATGAGATACTGATGCAATGTCAGTAACTCATGGCTTCCAATTCCTTCCTAAAACTCATAAAAGTGGACATTACATGCATATAAAATTTGACATGTAAAGTCCACTTTTTGTGAGCGGGGATTTGACTCCGTCAAATCCCCTTTTTCGTTTACGAGAAAGCCAAATTCTCTCAAAAAGTTAAGTAGGACCAATTTTTTATAAAAAAATCCAATTTCATTATGAATGTTAATTAATTTATATAATTATTGAATAAAAAATTTTCTTTGAGATTATGAAAAGTTCTTTGAAAAGTTATTTTTTCTCATTTTTAAATATTGTATTAGCCTATTTATTTATAATCCAAATTAAATAACTTTAAATTCAATATTTAAAGAATAATTTTGAAGGAATTGAGTTACTTCCCCCGACGATAAAATTGAGAGGTTTACATTTTGACCGAACTTAGCATGCAACACCTGCGCCAAAATTTATTGAATACAACTGAATATCCAGTCTTTTTTTTTATATTGTTCGGAAAAGGTACATTCACTATTTTTGACAAAATTTTAAATTTTCATGGGGTTGTAAATCTTATAATAACTAGATGAATAAGGAATAAATCCCAGTATGATGTGCATCATTATATTAAACACTATATGTAAGGCTGGTGATTCTATTAACACTTATGAAGATCTATAGTATTTGAGCAGATAAATTTGATAATTTCCAAAACTCTTATATTTCAAAATTAAAGTGTGCAAAAGCATTTAAATGAGAGCAAAAAGAGAATGATGCTGCTAAAACTAGGTGTTAAATTCCAATTATTTCGCATCACAAGAACTACCCAGTAAATTCGGCCATCTTTTTTTGCAATTATTCTCTATTATACATATAATATAATGGTTAGGGTTTGGGGAAAAGTTACTAGAGAATTATTGACTTTTGAAATAATGCAGAATTTTACTTGAAGAAATCATTAAATTATGAGTTCCAAATTGCTAAGCATGACGAAGGATCATTAAATTTGCTGCAATTAAATACATTTATTGCAGAATTAAGATTATTGAAATTAAAAATTTGAAATATTGCCTTTTTGAATAAAAATTTAAATTTGATTATATAATCATGATAATATCTTATAGAAATTAAAAGAAAATATTTTAAACCATTCAAATATTTTGAATGTCTTATCAATTTAAAATATTAAAAGATTGCTTGATTTTATCATCATTAGTTGTTATCAAAGTTTTCTTCTTTTGATGAACAACAGTAAATGATTTGTTAATACCTTGTCTTCCTTTTACGCAGCAAAATCGAAAGTTATGATGATAATCTTGTACTCAATTTTGAAACTCTCTGATTTACAAGTAAGCATTCCTTTGGAAAAGCAGTCCTATTCTGTTTTCAAGATATTTTAAAGCCTCCATTTCATACAATGCGCAGATCTATTCGAAATTGCAAGAACTCTCAAGAAAAATGCTGCAGCAAAGAAGATTCCAAAGTTCCTAGCATCAAAAATTTACACCCTTAATACAACAGTTCAAGAGAAGCTCGATAAGAAAATATTTAACCATAAAGCTGGATATCATTCGATATTTACTATTGAATATAATAAAAAGTTAATTGTAACATATTTTACATGCTATTTGCTGACTCTGTTCCATTAGATTACCATATATCTGTTTGAAATCTAAAAAATTTTACGATTTTAATCATGTGTTGTTGAAATCATATACCATTCTTAGCTAAAGTATAGTTTATGGGTCTGTCACCATCTAACTATATGAATTTTCAAAAATGTCAAATATGTTCATTTTTTCTGTATATTCAGCCACAATTTCATGTAGTTGTACTATTCAACTATTATTTAATAATTTTATCGATTTAAATATATGATGAGATGCTTAGTTCTCCCGGAAATCGATTTTTAATCACAATTTTAACTTTCCAAAAAAAATTCGAAAATAAAAATTCCTCTCAATTTTCTAAGTTTTCGAGTAGGGGGAATTTTAGCTAAAAGTGACACACCTGTAAAAAGTGACACAGCTGTGAAGGGTGTGATTACCGATCGGTAATTTCGACAGTTGAGAATTTAAAATTTTTTATGGAACTGTTGCGAGTTTCATAAAGAATTTAAGGAATATAAGCAAAGATTTGAATCAAAATCTTAGACCTAAGCCGCTCGATTCGCTCGCGGCTTCCGCGAATTACAGATCAGCAAAGATTTGAATCAAAATCTTCGAACTAAGCCGATCGCTTCGCTCGCGGCTTTCTTTATTATTTTAAATTTGCATATTTCCATCAAAAGTTCATAAGGTAAAAAATTTCGTTTATTTTTACTAAGAAAAAAAAGGTTTTTGATAATAAATTTATTTTATTTCGAAAAAGTAGCAATAATCGTAAAAGGGTATTGATAGGCTTGCTAAAGTAACTAATTTTAGCTGTCAAATACTTTTGTATTTTGAAGTAAATTAGTATAAATTTGTTTTTACTTTTATTTCGAAAAAGTAGCAATAATCGTAAAAGGGTATTGATAGGCTTGCTAAAGTAACTAATTTTAGCTGTCAAATACTTTTGTATTTTGAAGTAAATTAGTATAAATTTGTTTTTACTTTTATTTCGAAAAAGTAACAATAATCGTAAAAGGGTATTGATAGGCTTGCTAAAGTAACTAATTTTAGCTGTCAAATACTTTTGTATTTTGAAGTAAATTAGCATAAATTTGATATTATTTTAATTCCCTTTGAAAACATCAATTTTCCATACAGAGGGAACGGGAATAGCATCCAATATTCCCTGAGAATGGTTGCGCATTCTCAGTTCCCTCTATATTTCGAACGAAGCTCTCATCGGTCTTTTTTTTTAATACTAAACGTTTTTTTCCCTGTCACTTTTAGCTAAAATTTGGGTTTGCCAATTTTCGACTATATGAACTAAAGGAAATGGTACAAAATATTCTCTAAATCATTTGCTAGTTTTATTTTATAAAAAATTGCTTTCTCTTATAAAATTTTAAATCGATATTATAGAAATTGAGTGTATGATATGTATTAAAGCATAGGCCGAATAAATATAATGAACCATTGGAAATTTTAGTGGATCAGAAAGACACTTGCTGATATCCCTTGTAAATTTTATTGATACATTCGAGCAATCAATGTTATTACTAATATTTCTACTGTATAAGTTTCTATTGACAAGTTCCTCAATATCCAAATAAGGAATTATCTATTGAAACATCATTCTAAAATTGAATTGTAGTTGGGATCTTTGTCATTATCAAATTATTCATTAAATCAATGACAAAAACCATAGAAGCATTCAAATTTTAATAATATCCTTAATGAATATAGGCTATTGAAAGAATCCATCTGAAATTCATCAATACTTAAAAATGGTCTTATTTTCGTTTCTTATTTGCAGTAACTCATTTTGATATCTTTTAGAAATTTTATTTTGATGTTTCCGAAGTCTCAAACAAGTGATTCTGGATCAAACCGGTCACTTGTTGTAGAATTTAATCAAAGAAAGACTTCCTTTTTACAATCACTGGAGACTATACTCTCTGCAATTTCATCCGATCAATACGTTAATCAAATGTTTAGAGATACTACATCTTCTTTTTATATACCAGATAGAGTTTGTGAACTAGTATTTCAGTATTTGTACGATGAACGTGAAAAATACATTTTATCTCTACAAGATGAAATAGCAGAATTGAAATCTCAATTAAAACAAGCAGATGCTTCAAAAATTACAGAATTAGGAGAAAAATTACTTGATGCAACTTCTATTCATGCCGAAAAGGAAGCTCAGCAACGTGGCTGCATAAAAATGTTAAAAGCACAAATTTCAGAATTACAAAAAAACTCTATACCGCAAATTGCAATGTCATTTTCTGCAGGCTCTGGTGCTAAATCTCTTAAAGATGACTGCAAAATACTCAAACAATTGATTTTTAGTTATGTATCTCAAATGCAATCCGATATCCATACAGCAAGAATTGTTGCAACAGCATTAAAAAGGGCATGCGATAAGAAAACAAGAAAAGTGATCAGAAAACTACGCGAATTAGCTGAAATTCATATTCCTGAGTTACAAACTCAAATTACTCAACATGAATCTACTGAACAACAGTTAAAAGATTCAATGAAAGAGATGAGAGCCACTTCTCTTGAAAAAGAGAAAAGATTTCAAGAAGAAATTTTAAAACTCAAGGATGAAATTCGATCACTTCAAGACAATAATAAGATGCTCGAAGAACAAAATAAGCTATTAGAAGAATCAGTGAAAGATATCCATACAGAAAGTCAGAATATTTTAGAAAATGATAATGATACTATAAAACTGAATCAAGAACTTGCAGTAAAAGATGCTCAACTTGAAGCAAAGGATATTGAGATCTTAAAATTACGAAATGCTTTATATACAGAAAATCAAAAATTTACAACCGCATATTCTCAAACAGAAAACAGAGATAGCCCATTAGCAGAAGAAATCAAGACACTTACACTTACTATGAGCCAATTAAAAGATGAAAATACTCGAAATCAAGAAAAACTCAAGAAATTCAAGGACGATAAGCTGAAACTTAAGCAGGCATTGCACCAAAACGAATTAGATCGTGTTAAAGATGAAAATAAGTATAAACCGCAAATAAATGATTTAAATACGAAAATTTCAAATCTTCAGAAAGAACTTGAAAATGCCAAAGATACAATCGATGCAAAGCAAAAGAAGATCAGTACTATGTACGAGCGCATGAAAGCACCACTTCTTGAACAAAATCAAAAAATTAATCAATTAGAATCTTTAATTGATACATTAAATGCCAAAAATGGCAAACAAAAAGACTCAATCAAGCTACTTAAAGACAGAATTTCACAGTTCCAAGATAATAATTCGAAATTACAAGCAAAAATTGCAAAATTAGAAGCAACCGCAAAGATTCATGAGAATGAGAAGGAAACTTTGAACAGTAAGATAGACTATCTCAGTAAAGAAAACAATATCAAAGAAGACACCGTTAAAAAAGTTCAAGATGCAAATCAATCTCTTAAAGAATACAAAGAAACAGCAACAAAGCAGATCACTGATAATACCCAAAAGTTCCAAGAGATTCTGGATGAAAATCAAAGCTATAGAGAGAAAAATGCCGAATTATCCAGAAAATTATTAGAATCTCAAAAGCAAATTGATGATTTGATTAACGGATTCAATGACAAGGACCAGCAAATCAAAGGAATCAAAGGCGAAGCAGGCACTGTGAAGCAAAAAATCAAAGAATTATTGGATGAAAACTCCAAACTCAAGAACAAGATCTCAGAACTCGACCAAAGTCTCAAGAACTCGCAAACTGCACAGAAACAAACAACATTGAAGACGCAGGAACAATTAAAACAAAATGATTCACTTCAAAACATTTTAGAAGACAAAAATTCCGAATTACTTTCATTGAAAGAACTTAATTCAACAAATGAAAACCAGATAAACAAACTCAAAACTAAACTTGATAATCTCCAAAAAGAAAATGATGAATTAAAGGTTAGTTTACAAAAAGTGACAGAAAGAAATGATGAACTTGAAAATACTACGATTAAAAGTGACAAAGCCAATGATTTGATACAAGAGAATATGACATTAAAGAGTCAAATGAAAGATGCCAAGAACGAGAATGCAAAAACAATGAATGAAATGAAACAAATACAGCTAGAAAATGAATTATTAAAACAAAATCAACAAAATCTTGAAAAAGAAATTAAAGAAAATATTCAAAATAATTTGGATTTGCAGAACAAATTAAATAAAATCGAATGGGATAATAAGATTGTATCAGATAAATTAGCTAAAGAAAAATCATCATTAGAACTTCAAAATGAAAATCTTCAAAATCAAAATAAATTATTGAATGAAAATCATCAAAAAGTGACAGAAGAAAATTTGGCAATTTCACAAAAATTGAATGATCTTAATAACCTAAATAAGATGTGCCAAGATGAATTACAGAGTACTAGTTTAACACTACAAAGAAAAGAAAAAGAACTCGAAGATCTCAAACAGAAGATGGAAAATTTGGAGAAAGAGTTTTATGATGTTAAAACTGAAAAAATGTCAATGGAAAACAAGATTTTTGACTTGGAGAAAGAAAGTAAAAATCAAAATGACAACATGAATAAGATAATAGAAGACAAAGATCTTCAAATTAAAGATCTCCGAACTAAAAATGAAAAATTGACAGAAGAAAATTCGAATCTTCAAAACAAAGAAAAAGAAAACAAAAACTTACAAAGTAGAAATCAAATTGTTGAAAAAGAAAACACAGAGTTATCACAAAAGATTAGTTCTCAAAATGAAAGAATCAATGAATTAGAAAACGCTGTTTCTACCCTTCAAAATCAAATTTTGGAAAATGACGATAAATCTCAAAAAGTGACAGAACAAACCGCCAAAGATTTGATTGCTGCAAATTCATCACTTAAACAGATGACTTATCAAAACGAGCTTCTTCAAAGGAAACAAAATGAAATGGAAAATGATTTAGATGAGAAGTCATCAAGAATCAAAGATCTCGAGGATGAAAATGATGATTTACAAAAAGAAATTCTTGAATTACAAAATGAAAACAGAAAAATTTCATCAAATTACGAGAAAATCTCCAAAGAAAATAATCGTATTGAAATGGAGATGAAACAGATCAAAGATGAAAATGAATCTAATAAACAAAAATTAGTAGATAACACTAAAAAGCATGAAGAGGAAAAAATGAATTTAATAAATAACGCAAAAAGTGACAAATCTAAAATTGACGGTTTGACAAAAGATATTTCCATGTTAAATTCTAACATTAAGCTTCTACAAGATGAGAACTCTAAACTTGATAATGAGAATTCACAATTAGAAAATGAAATAAAGAAGTTAACAGAAGACTTACAAAAACAAAATGAAAAAATTAATGATAATCAAAATTTGTTGCAAAATGTAACAAATGAAAACAAGAAGCTCAAAGACAAGAATGAACTTCTTTTTAAAGAAAATGAACAAATTAAGAATTTAATGCAAGACAAAATCAATGAAAACAACTCTCTCAAAGAAAAGCAAATTGAAATGGAAAATGATTTAAACACTGAAAAACTAAACAATGAAAGATTGGTCGGAAGATTGAAAGAAATAGAAAATCATAACAAATCAAAGAAAGATAATACTGCTAAAGAAAATGCAAAGTTAACACAAAACAACAAAGCTTTGGCAAATGAAAACTTCGAGTTGAAACAGAAAGTTGCAAATTTGGATCAAGAATTATCAGATGTCAAAAATAAATTTGATAAAATGTCATCTCAAATTTCTGAGTCAGAAAAAGAAGTTCAACAAAATGCTGCTGAGTTTAGACAAATTAAAGCAAAGAATGAAAGTCTTAACAAAGAAGTCCAATTTTTGAACGATTTAGTTACAAATCTGAAACAACAAAATGATGATTTGAGGAATAAGAAAGAAGAATTAAATACAACTTTCAGTGAAGATATTGATAACATATCAAATGAACTTCGAGAAATCAAAACACAAAATGAATTCCTGAGAAAAGAAAATGAAGAAATGAAGAATCAAAGTCAATTAACAAAAGCAGATAATGACAAGTTGAAAGAAGAAAATCAAAACCAAAAGGAGATAAACACAAAGTCATTGATGAAAATAAATGAATTAGAAAAGCTAAACAAACAAATCAATGATGAAATGGCTAAAATCCAAAATAATTTACAAAACTTGACACAAGAAAAAGAAGAAAATGATTCGAAACAGGATGAAATCATCAAAGAATATGAACAAGAAAATGAAACTCTCAGATCTGAGAACCAAAACTTTGAAACCAAAATCAAAGTATTGGAAAAAGAAAATAAACTTAATGTTTTCTCATTGCAAAAAGTTACAAAAGAAAAAGAAGATTTAGCTGAGAAACTAAAGAATCAAAAAGAAGTCAATGAAACATTAGAAAAGGCTAAAGAAGACTTAGAAACAGAAAATAATAATTTGAAGCTAAATGAAGATAAAATTAAGCAGATTTTGTCAGAAAATGAAAATCTCAAACAGAAATTAAATGATTTACAAAAAGAAAATAATGATTTGGTTAATGAATCAAATGATATCAAGCAAAAACAAAAAGAAGAAATGGAGAGTTCCAAAGAAAACCAAAATCAAAAAGAGAAACTTGAAAATGATCTTAATGATTTGCAAAAGAACTTTGATGAACTTCAAAAATCTTATTCTGATCTTTTGGAGAAATATAAGGCTGAAAATGATCAAAAAGAAAGTCAATTTAACAATGTGAATTCCAATCTCAAGCAAAGCAATTATCAAAATGATTTATTACAAAGGAAATTGAAAGATTTGGAGGAAGAAATGAAAAACGATAAAGAGAAAATTGACACTTTACAAAACCGAAATGAAGAATTGGAAAATTTGTTTGGAAACATGAAAATAGAAAATTCTTCAGCTTTGGCAAACTCTGACAAGTTGACAAAGGAAAATGAAGCTCTTAAATCAGAGAATCTTTCATTGAAACAAACCAACAATGAAATTACAACTAAAAACAAAGAATTATCTATTGAACTCGAAAAAATCAAACAAAACTTGGAAGAAAATCAAAATTCTTATGAAAATGTTTTCAAAGAGAAGAGTGATATCAAAGAGAAACTTGATCAACTCATTCAAGAAACCAATGATCAGAAAGCAGCTAATAAAAACTTGTTAAAAGAAAAAGAAACATTAGAAGAAACTCAAAAACAAAATCAAAAAGAAATAGAAAATTTGATACAAAAAGTGACAAAACTCAAAGCTAAAAATGACTTTTTGAAGGAAAATATCACTGAAAGTAAGAGTAAATTACAAGGAGAAATCATCAAACTGAAAGAAGACTTAGCTACTATGACTCAAAAATCAAATGAAGAAAAACAAGCACAAGAAAACGAATTATCAAATCTGAAAATTGAACATGAGCATTTGATAAATAACTTTGATTTATTAACAAAAGGAAATGAAAATCTTAAACAAAAGATAGGAAATTTGACTCAAGAAAATATGGAAAGCAAGAAAGAAATTGCACAAATTTTGTTGGAAAAAACAACTTTGCAGAATCAAAATGATTCATTGCAAAATGAAATAGAGAATTTAGAGAAAACTATTGAAAAGCAGAAACAAGATTCTGTTGAAATCAAGTCTAAGTTCGATCAAATGTTATCAGAAATGAAGAATAAAATGGAGAAAAATAAAGCAGAAAATGATGAAAAATTGCAAAAAGTTGAAGAAGAAAAATCAAACTTGCAAAAAGAAAACGAAGAAATAAGAGAGAAGATCAATAAATTACAAGAAGAAAATGATGAAATGAAGGAGAATTTCAACGAAAGCCAAATAATGAATGAGAGTTTTGCAAAAGAAGATAACGAGAAATCTCTTTACATTGAGAAGGTTTCGAAACAAAACGCAGAACTCCAAAATGATTTGAAACAATTAACAAAAGAAAACAAAAATTTGGCTAAACAGAATGAAAATCTCAAGAATTCATTCGAGAAATTGAAATCTGAAACTGATATTTTGCAAAAGAACTTTGATGATTTGCAAACCAAATTTAATGATTTGTTTGATGATAATGAACAAAAAGCTTCCGAATTAGAAGTCGTTAAAAGTGAAAATTCCAAACAATTTGCAAAGATAAATGAACAAAAACAACAACTTGATAATCTGATAAAAGAAAATTCATCTCTGAAAGTAAGAAATGAATTAATCGCTAAAAATGAGCAAAAAGTGTCCGAAGAAAATGAAAATCTTAGGACAGAAAATGAGAAAATGAAGAAAGAAATAATAGAGTATGACGAAAAATCCCAGATTTTGCAAAATGAAAACAAAAAATTGTCACTTTTGAACGATAATTTACAGAAAGATTTGCAAAACAAAATCACAGAAAATGACAATTTGAAGAACATGAATTCGAATCTCAAAAACGACAAAACGAATTTGGGTAACAAATCGGAAATATTTGAGAATCAAATCAAGGAAATTTCTGCTTCATTAAACAAACTTAAATCCGAAAATGAAAGTTTGGAGAAAGAAAAAGAAAGTTTAACTGAAGAAAATAAGAAACTCAAAAGTGAAAATCAAAGTCAATCTTCTGAATTAGAAAAGGTTAAATCCGAGAATACTTCAATGAAAAATGAAGTTGAAAAGCTTGCAAATGAGAAATCAGAACTAAATAAGAAGATTTCTGATCTACAAGAACAAATTGATAAACTTACAAAAGAAAAGAATGATTTATCAAAGCAAAATGAAGAACTCGTAAAAGGAAATGAAACAGAAAAGGCTAAAAACGAAAAGTCATCAGCTGATTTGAATGATTTCATGAATGAAAACAAACAAATTCTAGCTGATAACAATCGTATGAAAGAAGAAATCCAAAACCTCAAATTATCAGCAGAAAAGTGCCAGAATGAAGTGAACAGAGTTCTGGAGGAACTTGGAAAAGTAGTCGAAATCAAGAGTTTATCTGAGATTCCAATTCTATTTATAGAAAATAAAGAGAAAATGGAATCAACACTCAAACTCCTAGATAACATTAAATCTTTGATAAAATGTGAATCAAATACATCAAACAACGAAATTCCTTTGAAGATTCAGAACATTTTGAATGATAGTGATCATTTTGCCAACATTGTTGCAAAAATCAAAAAAATTTTGCCTGAAATAACTTCAGTCGATTCTCTTCCGATCAAAGTCCAAATAATGAAAGACAAATTAACCGAATTTGAGGAGCTTAATGATAAAGCTTTGAATGTTGCCAATGCGAGATCAATTCATGAATTGCCGAATCTAATTTCGAAGTTGAAACAGATTTCATCGAATTTCGAAGATAGAGAAACAAATATTCAATCTCTTCTCGATTCATATTCCTTTGATGAACTTCCTGCCGAACTAAGCCGTCTTTTGAAGGAGAATACTGATCAAAAAGCTCTTTTGAGGTCAATTTCTTCAATAATTAATAGTGAAAACATTTTGGAGAGATGTTCCGAACTAATTGAAATAGAACAATCCATGGAAAGACTAAAGAAAATGTGCAGCGCAATTTCTTCAGTTGACGACGATAGAAAAATTGAAGGAATTTTGATCGACCTCAAAAACAAAATTGATGAAAAAGAGAGAACAATTCAAACAAGCGAAGCATTGATTCCTCCTTCTTTTGAAGGCGACTTACCTAAAAAGGTTTTGCAGATGAAGAACAAAATTATCGAATATGAGCAGAAAATTTCTCAGTTTGTAAACGCAATTGGCGGCGGAGATCCAATCAGTTCTTCTAGAAAAATACTGGAGAGTTTTAACAATTCAAACTCTCTTTTGACCGAGGTTATAAGAATCCTCAAATCTGATCCTAATATTACATTAACTTATCCTTTCTCTCCTTCTTTCTCTGCTCAAATAATCGAAGACTGTCACAATTTGATCAGAAAATTAGAGAATTCTGTAAAATCAATTAATACTGTTTTGAATGAATGCAAAGGAAATGGATACTCAGGTGATGATTTACAAGAAGCGGTTCACTATTTAGTGAATCATCTTGTTGAAATCGAAAGAAGGAAGTCTATAGAAAAGCATGTCAATGAAATAGGAGAATTGCGAAAGATTCATTCGCAGGAAGTTTCAATTTTAACCCAAAATAAAGAGAAGACCATGGAACAAGTAAAGAAATGCAGAGAACAAATCATTGCTTTGGAAAAGCAATTCCAAGCAAAGGAAGATAATTATATTAATGACTTGGAAAACCTCAAAACTGAACAGTATTCTTTATCTGATAAACTTAGAAAGCAACAACGAATCAAAGATGAGTTAATCACTTTTGTTTCAGGGAAACCAGCAGACATTGAATTCTTGAGTGTTAATTTAAGTGATATTGAAAAGAAATCTATTAATCTCAAAATTTAAATAAATTGTTTGTATTTTTATTATAATTTTACCTGTTTTATATTCAACCAAAATAATTGTGTATATAAGAGTAATAATGTTGAATAATTGGTCATTTTACTTTAGATGAATACAATTTTATCTTTATCTCTAAACTCATTCCAAATTATCAAAATACCTCCACATGAAACCGTCGAAATTAGTTCATATAACAGTAAATTTTATATTTTATCCAATTCAAACCTGAATCAAACAAAATATAATATCAAAAATCGCACAACATCAACAGATATAAATCCACAAGCCAACAATTATTACGCATTTTCTGATGTAAATATAAGTATCATTAATTATGGGGACGAACTCGAAATTATTAAAGGATGGAATCTAGAAAAAGGTACGTGTAACGCAGAATCTTACTTTCTTAACTACTCCAATAATATGAATATGCAGATATATGCGAAACAAGCATGTCTTTTCTCTCCTCTCACATTTAATTCTTCTGGTATAAAATTCTCCAAAACTATACTGCCAACTCATAACATCTATACCCCACTTAGTGAAAAGCCAATACAGCTAGAATATTATTATACTGGCTTACCTTTTGTTGTTCAGATACACGATCATATAACAAATGATCTAGGAATAGCTTTCGAAACCATTGGTATTAATGAGAATATTTCAAATAAATGCGGACTCACATCATTTATATTCAATTCTCATAATAATACAGTCGATGATTCATTATTCAAATGCAATTGCAATAAATTCACAAGACCTCCATTTTCCATAGCTCTCTTTGCTTTATTATATTTCGCAGTTATTGGATTTATTATATTCCTATTAGAAAAAGGAAATATAATTTCAATAAGATCATATTTCTCCGCAAATATTGCAAACAGCCAGCCAGCAACATTTGCAAACCAAGATACTGAACCCATTCTTAATGATATTGAATATGATGTTGTGAATGTAGATGCTTGAGTGAATTTATACGTTATTTGTTGGACTAAAAGTTTAATGATGTATTGATGCAGTATAGTTTTTATACTGATATCATTTTTTTTAAAAAAAAATGAGAATTGTATACCCTACTTTTCCAACATTTATTGCATTATATACGAATCAAGATTTGAATGATAATAAAATTTAAAAATATTCAACACAATATAGAGATATCGCTTTATAACATCGATGCTTTGTTAACCATACTAAAGATTTCATTCAAAAAGTCAAAATTTTTATTCCAAAAAAAATATAAGAAGAATGATATGCATGATACATTTTTATTGACCTATGTACTATATATAATTGAATCCACTATAATAGCGTTGTGAATATCTACTGTTTGATAAAAATCTTTAATAATCTATTAAAAAATAGGTTATAGATGTAACATATGAATGACACAATATCACTTTATATAGTAAATTATAATATGAATGTTGTTGGCTACTAATACTTCCTTTATTCATTGGAATTGAAATGCTCAATATTTAAAACGAATTTTAAACAATTTATGAATGTCATACGACTTAACCTGTCTACTAATCTTAGAATTTATACATAATTCATTAAAAATTAATATTAAATCTTTTGAATTATGAAAAAAGACAGACATATTAAAGGTAAATATGAATAAAAACATAAAATAGTTAGTAATGATAGATGTTATTTTTCCAAAATTTTCTTATTTTTCTAATTTTAAAAACTTTTTTAGCAAAATTGGGATTAATTTTTTAAATTTTGAAATATTTTTGGATTTTGAACATCAAAAGATTGCATTTCTTTTAAGAATAATGCAAATTTCTAATGAAGTGAAACATGTTTCAAGACTTTTAATACAATTTAAAAAAGAATCTCAAATATCTTCAGGAAATTCAATCTATATTTCAACGAGGATAATAGCAACATTCAAAATACACGATATCATATAAAACAACATCATTTTGGTTCAATGAATCCTGTTAATCTGTATTAACGAATTCATTGATTCAAGAAACCAAAGACATAAGAAATAAATATTGATATCACTCAGTTTACAAATGTCAAATCATCACTCAATACTCACCACAAATAACTTCGATTCGCTATATTTTTCATTTCATTAAAATTCAGACATTTTTTGCACTAATATCGATTACAAACAATTCTATATTACAAACCATTACAATAAATGACGAAAATCCTTCATTATTCAATAATTTGCAATTTTATATTTTCAAATCTCAAATTTTAATCAAATCAAATATAAATATCATGTAAAACATCTATATTTAGGATGATGTTCCATATTACTATGGAAAGTTAATCATCAATATGGATAAAACCAAATTCCTTCCCTTACCATAAACTTCAAGACTCCTTTCATCACACAAACAAATGCACGAGCCACTCCTAAAAAAATTCAGGTTTTAGAAATTTATTATCAATTATAGACATTATTTCATTACCACAGTTCACTAATCGATAATTGAAGTGTTGCAAAACATATTATACTTTCTACTATTAGATTTATGAATAAAAAATTTATACCCTACTTTTCCAACATTTAGAAAACATGCATGACCCCCTACCCAGGGTCCAAAAATTGGTATTTTCTGCGCTCAGGCAACATGAGTTTTTGGGCCGCCAAATGAATAGCTCAAGTAGTTTCCTCATATAGAGACATGCTTATGCTTAGAGTTTGAAGGGAATCTAAAGTGATTTTTTTCTGCATTTCGAAATCTAATGCAATCTTAAAATCATGATTAAACTGCGAATCTGGGCGCAATTTTTTAATATGTTAATATATGAAGGTACTCCTACTACTGCGAATGCTTCAAATGAAAATTCAAGAAATCAGATTAATTTGATCACATTAGTATAGTAGTGGTCAATCCAAAAACTCATATGTTGATATATAACCTATAGAGATGATAATTATCGACTCTTCATTGAAATGCATAAGATTTAATAATCTCATAAATATTCTTTTTAATTTTCAGTATTTCGTGTGCATTTAGATTGCATATACCTGTATATGATATTTCTAGAATGTTTTGGTTAGATATTAAGTTTTTTAGATTAATATTTTAACATTTTGATAAAACAAGCAATTGTTCCATTTTGGAATCGCGATTGAACTCTAGTTTGACTAATATGATGTTGTATGATCAAATGAATTCTAACTTCATGAGATAAAATTTGAAATTTGAAAATGCGATATCTGACTCAAATATTTATCTGAGCACATTTAACATTCAATTATAAACTAAAGTAATATACAGAAGATTCGATTTGGCTTATATTTTAAATATTCAACAAATAATCTTATAAAATTGTGCTATTCACGTTTCTCAAAGATGGATTAAGCATTTACAACTTGTGCATTGATGGAATTAGATATGGATTCTAATGTTAATCGATATTTTGTAAATTGATATATATTTTATCATGGTTTGACATTTGATCGTGTTGAAACCGGAATTGCAATATGCATCATCTATATATATAATTGTCAAAATATGAGCTATAGATTTTTAAATTATGCTCCTGATTATGAGTGACTTATATGATTATATTGAATTGAGTAGTAAGAATCATAAATATTAGAATATTACGATAATGTATTATAACCTTATAGAAGCTTAAGGCTAAAAATGATGATGAAAATGTAGCTCAAATTTAAGTCTAAAAATTTGAAAAAATTAAGTGCTTATGATAGTATGACGATATTGGTGTTTGAATGTAAGAAATTAGAGATGTATTAGAAGCATTATGAGAAAATAATAAGATATAAAAACAACTTTTATGAAATAATTTAAGTTATAAGAGGTGTTAACATTGGTAATGTGTGTATAAGATAGTAGAATTGTATTGGATCTTTGATTAGTATTTTATAACAATTTATTAATGTAGATGTGATTAGAATGTTGGATTTCAAAGGAGAAAGCGGATTGTTCACTCTTGTTGGTCTGCATGTGTCATTCCGGGAGACATTGCCTGTGCATGTCTCCCAGAATCAAACAATTTATTGCAATCAGAATACGATTGCAAAACTTTGACCGACAAGCGTGCATTGTGCACTCTTGTTGGTCTGCATGTGTCATTCCGGGAGACATTGCCTGTGCATGTCTCCCAGAATGGCATACTGTTCCGCATTCATAACTTGAATGCGGAACTTTGACCGACAAGAGTGCATTATGCACTCTTGTTGGTCTGCATGTGTCATTCCGGGAGACATTGCCTGTGCATGTCTCCCAGAATGGCATACTGTTCCGCATTCATAACTTGAATGCGGAACTTTGACCGACAAGAGTGCATTATGCACTCTTGTTGGTCTGCATGTGTCATTCCGGGAGACATTGCCTGTGCATGTCTCCCAGAATGGCATACTGTTCCGCATTCATAACTTGAATGCGGAACTTTGACCGACAAGAGTGCATTGTGCACTCTTGTTGGTCTGCATGTGTCATTCCGGGAGAAATTGCCTGTGCATGTCTCCCAGAATCAAACAATTTATTGCAATCAGAATACGATTGCAAAACTTTGACTGACAAGAGTGCATTGTGCACTCTTGTTGGTCTGCATGTGTCATTCCGGGAGACATTGCCTGTGCATGTCTCCCAGAATCAAACAATTTATTGCAATCAGAATACGATTGCAAAACTTTGACTGACAAGAGTGCATTGTGCACTCTTGTTGGTCTGCATGTGTCATTCCGGGAGACATTGCCTGTGCATGTCTCCCAGAATCAAACAATTTATTGCAATCAGAATACGATTGCAAAACTTTGACTGACAAGAGTGCATTGTGCACTCTTGTTGGTCTGCATGTGTCATTCCGGGAGAAATTGCCTGTGCATGTCTCCCAGAATCAAACAATTTATTGCAATCAGAATACGATTGCAAAACTTTGACCGACAAGCGTGCATTGTGCACTCTTGTTGGTCTGCATGTGTCATTCCGGGAGACATTGCCTGTGCATGTCTCCCAGAATCAAACAATTTATTGCAATCAGAATACGATTGCAAAACTTTG